CAAACAACAAACCACAACCAAATAACACAAAGACGCCGAACCAAGCAAACAAGTTAAACAAAACTAACAAGCAAACCACGAAACAATAACGCAAACAAAACAAACAAGAAACACAAACCAACAATCGCCACAAACAACTCACAACCAACAAATACAAAGACAACACACGAAGCAAACAAAGCCAACAAAGCAAACAAGTAAAACAACAAATCTTGCAACACAACCGTAACAAAACAATCAAGGCAAACAATACACGCAATTAACACGCAGAAGCAAACAAAAGAAACAAAACAAGCAAAGCAAGCAACACACACGATTAACACAAAAACTCACAGAAGCAAACAACACAAAGAGCACAATCCAGGCAAACACAGAACATCAAAGCGGATCTCGTCTTTCTGGCAAAGCCGCTTCTCCAGTGCGCAGGTCCCGGCGCAGGTGGGGTGTGGCGCGGTGACCAGTTTGACGTCCACGCCCTCCTGGACCATGGCTTGCAGTGCCTCCACCGCGCCTGGCGGGACTGTTGCTCGCGGACGGCGTGGCAAACACCCAAGCAGGATTGGTTGAAATAACCAGACCCTGCCGTTGTAACAGGAGAACCAGTTGAGTGACATGCATGAACAACTTGCAAAACAATGCTTCTTGTAAAACTACAATTTACACAATCGCTTGAAGGAAACCCAAAAGGAGGTTCGTGTCAAACGAAGGAGGTGCAAACAAGAAGCTGCTTGGGCATTCAACCCACAAGCGGACCAACCCTGTTTATCCGACTTGTAACCATGGCTGACACACCCAATTGGCAACATTTTGCGGTTCTAAGGCCTCAGTAAGCGTTGCTTTGATAAAGACAAAATCCAAAACCACTGAGCGAACATACAATGGAAACTAGAAGTACATGTTTTGCTCGCCTCCCTCCAAGGGTCCATTTTTGCTGACGTCGCCTGCTACCCCGGTGAACGCAACGGGGGTGGGGCCTCGCCGGGAAGGGGTGATGCGGGCACTTGCTGATTTGTTCATGCTCATTGCCTCATGCCTGGTTCCAGGGATGGCTGAAGCTGCCCTCCTCGGCATGCATCCCTGGAACCCTCTTTCAGCCGGACCCCCCTGTAACCCTTCCAGAACCTCCAACCCAAATCGCCTCCATCCCAAATCGCATTCAGCTCTTGGGGGAAAGCCGGTTCCTAGCTGATCCGACTAACAGCAATGCAGGGTTGGTTTGCAGGTTCCAGGCGGTTCCCGGCTCCAAGCGAGCCGCTGGAGACTTATTACCGCCGAGAAAATAGAAACCCCAGAGCGGATTGCCACCAAGCTGTCGAAATAACCAAGAGCAAAATAACAACAACCGAAAACCGGTCCATTCCACCAACCCCCGGAAGAAGAACATTCCCTACGTCCGTTTGCCCATCAAACCACATCCGCCGCGAAAAACCAAACCGGGGCTCGCTCTCCGAGTCGGCTCCTAGGTCCGTAGAGAGGTTGGAACAAGGGCGCCCGGTTTTCTGTAGTCAATTTTAGTAGGGGAACCCTCCCCCAAAAAAGGGGAGAGAACTTGGTTGACGTTGAAAGGGGAGCAAACATTTAGATTTTAGCAGTTAAGTGGGGATTTCAACCACCAAACCGCAACAAGCAAAAATGATTCAAATGTTTCCCAACAACAACCATGAGAAGGGGCACCTAGCCGGGGGACGCCTAGGCTCGCTCTTCGATCCATCGATCGATCGAATTCGATGGCGATCGCCTGGCAAGGGCTCCAAAGCCTCGTAGAGGCCCGGGGACGCCACCGCGTCCAGGACATGCGCCTGGTCTTCCTTCCCGAAGTTCTCCTCCCGAAGTTCTCACGGGGTCCGCCGCTGGGGGAAGAAAAAAAAACGTGGGCCTTTAAGCGTGGAAAATCCAGGAAAATCGGCCAACTGTTGGAGCAAAGGCAACAACCAGGGCAATGTGAGGCAGATTGAGGATGCAGGGCTTGCGTACAGAAATGTTGGGAAGTCCAAGAAAAGGAAAGCCAAGGTAGTTTGACACATGCCCAGCTGTTCGTGGCGATTGATTTAGTTTGCTGCTTGCTCCTGTTCAGGCTTTAGCAGCCTGAATCATTCGAGCAGGAAACCACCCGGTCCCTTTTCAAGCCGTGACATGGTCCGGTACTGTCCATAAAGCCTTGCTTGCGGGGTTTGTCTGTCTTGAGTTGTTACCCTTGGGGTCGCATGGCCAAACATCTCATGCAAATCTAATATTTGGAAACAACCCCAAACTCCTGGCAACCTCTAGTCAAGGGACGCCGAAGGGAAACCACGTATAGTTGATTATATGTTTGTGACGTGTCAACTTATGTTTCCTCTTTTTCTCCGGGGGGGGGGGGTCAAGTTAGTTGAGACAGACCCTTGTAGTACCCGGGCAACCCCTAGTTTCTTGATTGATGAATGAACCATCGATTTACTTCCAGAAGGCCGGTCACAGGTTTGGGGTGTGTTTCCGGTTCGGGTACCTATATTATCACGTGGGGGTTATGGGGTTGATCAAAAGGTCCTTTACATGGGATGACCAGGGGAAAACCACAAGACACATATGCCTTCCCACATGGGAACCAAGTCACTCATGGTCATTTGGGGGCCCTGAATATAGATCCCCCCCCGGTGAACATTGCCAAAACGGGGTTCAATCTGGTATTCCTTTCCTGAGGCGCGGGTACTGCTCCCACGGGACCTGCCTTTGTCCGATTTGGAGTGACTCAAGTGGAAACTACCAAGGTTTTTTTGTCGAGAGGATACGGGAAAGGCCCGCCGGCTGGTGTGTGTTGGACATTTAGACCTGGAAATTTTCTCTTCTGAGTTCCCCACGTCCTCGTCGGCACATGTCCGAACCCCAAACCCCAGATGTCCATCAGAAAAAAGAAAAAACACATCGGCACTCGGTTTTAGCAGTTGACTCAGGGCAACCCCCCTCAACAAATGGAAGGGGAACCAAATTACCCTTCTGGGCCTTGCAGCTGTGTCTTGGCGCTCCACCCACCTTGGGCTTCGGTCTAAGCCTCTGGATCCATTTCAACAGCTTGGGGTCAAGGATGGGTATGACGAATAGCAGGTTTGACTCGTTTTTCACGAATCACTTGGAGCTTTTTAGGGAAACCCCGAAGGAGAAAGAAGTCCGTTCCCTATGAGCACCCCTTTTTTTTGTAGTTTAAAGGAAAGCTTGGTTCCCTTCCTGAATTTGCGCGAAGCACAAATGACACAAAAGAACTACCAGCCGGTGAAAAGAAAAAAAAAAAAAACGCCAGGCAACACCAAAGCTTATTACCCTGCTGGCCATGAGAGAGTCATCTCCCGTTCATGCAATTCCCATGAGCTATTTAACCATGGGTCAAAATCCAGTACCCCCAGCGAACATCCCTATCCTCACTAAAATTGGCTCTAAAATGTCGGGTGAATTCACCTACCAAGCGAAATGGGATCCAAAACGGTTTTGACAACCACGGCCACTTTTCATGCTGAACACGACCTTGAGGCTTTGAGATTAACTGGCTCCTCGATCTCAAACTTCTGGCGGCTGCGCACTAGCTTCTCCACCACTGCCGGGTCCTGCTCTGAATTTGACGTGGAGACCCATGAGAAACCCCCGGCGTCTCCAAATGCAAACGTGAAAGCGCGAATAATAGGGAAAGCTGCTGTGCTTGACACCAAAGATATCAAACATGATGTGGTTACTCAAGACGACACACGGCTGAAGATCAGGAGTTCACCTATTTTCTGGGTCAATTTGTACAGGTTGTTCTGGCAGACGGCGTTGGTTCTGGGTGCAGGCTATGAACAGCATCCCCCCCCCGGCGCAGAGTTTGCTAGGCACAAACACACGGCCCTTGGTCAGAAACCAAAAGAAACTGGTTGCCTCACAGCGGCATTTGGTTTCCCCTCAATAACGTGAGGAAATCTGGCAGGATCTTGCGGATTGATCTTGGAGCTTTCATACATTCGCTTAAACCCAGGTCACTCTTTTTTGTTAATAGTTGACTTTCAAGGACAACTCCCCTCTTTAACTAAGGGAAACAGAGGCAGTTCTGGAGGTCTGGGCAAAAAAGCAGGTGAAGTTGATTCTTCTAGGGACACCCGATCCCGAGATGGGTTCCCGCGATCACCGAAACACATTCAGCTGGTCCCCTGAAAACAGATTCAAGCACAGCGCTTTGCCAGGGGCACAACAGACCTGGGTATGTTTTAGATAAGCTAGGCCCCTTTGGACATCATTGAGGTGGGGAATTGATCGAAATTCAAGTCCAAATTTAAATGTTTGAGGGGTTTGCATTCAAATCTGCAGCCATTGGTTTCTCCCAGTCTGAACCTGGCAGGAACTGTGGCTTCAAATCGACCTGTCTCGAGGCGCCCTCTGTTGATTTGGGACTCAGCGGTTGCTGACTTCTGTTTCGGGGGACGGGGGAAGGAGTCCTTAAAGGTGATCCGGCGATGCCTCCTATTTAAGGACCATCCGATCAGAATCAAGAAGGGGTTTATGAATTGGTGTCCATCGTCGTGGTTGGCTTATTTGGATTGGTGAAGAGTCTAGACTTTTGTTCAATGGAAACCCCAGATTAATAACCTTCTGGGATGTCCCCTTCTAGTGGTGGGTGGGGGGGATTCATCACTTTTGGAGGGAGAACCCCCCTAATTAAAAGTAGAACTTGCTTATTTGTCCAAGGTCCGCATAAAACAATAGTCTTCCGAAAAAAAAGGCTCAAGCAAGCGGGAACTCGGGGGGCGAGAAGGGGGTCCAACCACCCCGAACCCAATGGATCCATAGGTTTGGCGACAATTAATCATCCCAACTCAAAGAAGTGACCCGCCATCACCAGTCCATAGGCAATACTCTCACTTCCTGAGTGAATGAGCCACAAAAAGGTCCAATGGTCTTAGGAACGGAAGTCGAACTTGGCCACTTTGGAGTCCTTCCCGGACATCGTGCTGTAGCGGCGGATGAACTCTTTATCCCAATCGACCAAGGTGTTGTCCATGTCCACCAACCTCAGCCCAAAAGGAAACTCACTCAAAAGGAGACATACATCGGGACCCCGAAGCTAGCATGTCCTTACAGAACTCCTGGTACTTGGCTCAAAATTGGATACCCCCAGCACCTTGGCTCCCTTCCAGCCAGCAAGGAAAGCACGGTACGTCAGCAAGCAGATTGTTCTTGGGGCCATGCTTCGGTAGTTTCCCACCCCCAAAAACGAGAACTTGCATTTGCTTCAGCCGCCTGCAAAAACTCGAAGAATCGGCTCGGCTGGTTGCTGGGGAAAAAAGCTGCTTGAAACCAACAAAACTTTTCTCCAGCACGCCAAGGAGCCGGAGACGAGTTAGATTTAAATAAGTAACCTAAGGTACAGAAGCTAGAACCAAACACAAGGGTACATCCAACTGTCTTGCTCTACAAGGGGGATCTTCCAAAATCAGCTGGCGGTGAGTCTGGACCGGCCCAAACTTGTTTCCTTTCGTGGAGCAAGCGACACCGTGCGCCCCTTCAGGGCGTCGCCAGCCAGCGCAGTCCTTGGCTCGCTGACATCATCTGCCATCCCGACTAAAACCCTGAGCTAAGGATTTCACTGTTAGTGCACTAAGTGGAGTCAGCTTGCCTCTAATTTGTGGTTTGGATTGCTGGTTTGGTGGTGAGACAAAGGGTTTTCCCGTTCACCCTCTACAAAAGCCAGGGTTCAAGTCCCAAAACGCCAACTAAGAGTTACCTGACCCTTGGTATGGTGGCAAACGACATTTTTTGTTTGCAGCCCCATACTGGAAATGAACAAAACAAACTAAAACTGATCAAAAAATCAACCGGCAACAACAGTCAGATATCCTACAAATCCGGTGGACATTTGGAGGGGTTGCTCAACAAATTGTATGACGTGATTTCAATTTGAAAAACCCGGTTGAAGGGTGAGGTGAACCAGGGGAAACCGTATGCACCTGGTACACATGGGTCTGCAATCCCCGGGCATATGTGTAGGATACCAAGGGGCCAGAGAGGCGATCCCTGGACCAGAAGCCCAATATGACCTAAAGAAATACCAGGAATTCGCTTTGGGCGTGGCTTCAACAGAATTCCACAGACCTTCCAAAGGGTCCGAGAAACACGAAAACAAGATAGCGAAAGGGGCACCTTTGACAGGAAGCATAAACGGGCCTTGCGGATTGCAATGACACCCTTGATTTGATATTTGACGTTGGACATGCTCGACATGTGTTCTGTTTGGTCAACGTGTAAACTTCATTTTGGTAAACGCCACAACAAGCCCTGGTGGTATCCCCAAAAGCACCGGAAATTCCTGGAACCTTCCCCAAAACCTGGGCAAAGACCCGATAGCTTGCAGCTCTTGGTTAAAGAACAGCCGACATGTTTTTGAAACACCGCATTTTGAAGGGCACTAGCCAAAGGTCAGCTTAGACTCCAAAACACCAGGGGTCTGCGTATAACCACACGTACACATGTAATACACATGTAGGAAATCCCGTTAGCGAAAACCAAATAACACAAATCCGATCGGATGCAATATTATTACTATGATTGGTGTTAGAATTGTTAAATCATTGTTGGTATGCCCCATTACTATCATTATTATCATTTGTCATCATGATTATTACAAAGTAGACATGTAATATGCATATTGCAACTCGCTGTTTGAGAATGGTTTGAAGGGATTCACACATGGAAACCTAGTCTATCAAAAGCCAACAACCACAAACCAAGCAAAAGAAATGAACCAAGCGGTGCCACTGACCGGGCGTCTGTTCGGGTTGCAGGTCCACCTGCCCGAGCGGCCCGGAGGCTCCAAAGCTTCGCTACTGGAAGGTGCCCAAAATTTTCCGCTTCCAGTGGCAGGTATTCCAAATGCCTTGCTAGCGGTATTCACCCTGTTGTGTCGTTGGGGGGTGGGGCTGTTGCAAACATGTGGGTATTTGGAGTGAGGCATATGCAGGACCCTCAAACTAACCCTGAAAATGCCATCCACAAAATGCCATAGTGTACAACATGTTTGGGAGATCCCCCATTGGTGGGCAGCTTAAGGTGGCCTCAAGAGGGACACCAACAGGGAGGCAGACTTCCTCCGGTCTTTGAGGCGGGCCTTCTTCTTGTGTTCGTGTGCAGACGCTTCATATCATACCCCCCTCCAAACCCCTTTCACTGGTTCCTCCAAAGGCCTTGACTTACTTTGGAGTTTGGTGAGCCCCATGTCCCAGTCACAGAGTCACAGGTCAGTGCAGCGGGAAACCTGATTTTGGTTTACCGGTTTTTGATGGGATCGCTCAGGGCTCCCTATATTTCCCATGAAAACATCACCCCCACCAAGGGATACTCACCTTTCATAGACCAAAAAGGTGATGTTTAAAACCGTCAAAAAGGGAAATATAGGGACCCCTGTCGTCGCTTGCACCAAAGGACAGTGATACGCGTAGGCTTGACCCAAGTATTAGAACCCCTTCAACGGGACATGGGTCGCATTTTGCTGGGTGCCTTATGCGATTCCTTTGTAGAAGCCTCGGACAACTTTCGACCGGCTGCCTTGTCCAGAAGGTCCCGGTAGCACTTGCCCATGGCCTTGAGTGGTGGGAAATTGGTCGCCTACCTTTGGTAGCTCCTAAGTGTTCTGTCCATCACTGTTGGAAAGAGGGTAACTGGCATATAACCATATCTATCAGGGCTACGCAGGGCACGTGGTTGAGCCCCGGCATCCTAATCTCGGTACCCCCCCCCAAAAAAACAATGTATGGAAGCCACTACAATTGGGGCCCAAGAACAATAAGTATTTTATTCCAAATCAACAACATGCGGGGGAGCGCTCTCTACGGAACCCTGGAGAACTCTAGGCCTCTCAACTACCCACCCTCTTGTACCAACCCCCGGTTGGGGATTTCAAAAATCAGACACACACACACACACCAGCCCTGCCCAGAAGCCCTCGAGAAACCCACTCAACAAAAGTTACATCAGCCTACATTGGACCTTTCGCCCCCGCCCCCCCCCGCCAAACAAACCAACCAACCAACAAACAAACAAACAAACACACAATCAAACAAACAAACCAAACAAGCACCATGCATAATGTATGTATAATGTATACCGAATACAAATATATGTGTCTATAAACATAAACCAGTGGTAAACTATGAACAACATGATCTTTGTTCGGCTTTTCTGTCGACTCGAGTCGCGCAACCGTTGCTTTCGCTTTGTCGAAGCGGCTGAGTAGCTGAACTGCTTCAAAACCCGTTGGCGCCCGTGGGCGCCCATCTGCTTCCGCAGCTCGGGCTGATGGTACAGCTTCAGAATGGAGGCGCGGATGGCCTGGCCATGTCTTTTCCTCGAGTGAATTGTAAATGCGTCAATGCTGCGCATTCGCGAATTGAGTGCTAAAAAAGGGTGAGCTTGGTGGATGGGACCTGGAAATGAAAGGTTCACCTTTCGGGTTCATGACTTCGACAAGGCCACATTAGAAAAGTCAGTAGATCACATTAGAAGCTCTTGACAACCTTTCTGAAGCTCACTTTAGAAAACCAAAAGGCCAACTGGGGCTCAGGGAACCCACCTGTGAGAGCAAACCCGTTGTCGAGCCCCGTGGGCTTGGCTCTTAATCCGTCTGGATCTCCCTTTTTGCTTCAAAACGGGGTTCCGTGTACAGGAAACCATCCTTGGTGGGTTCTTTAGACGCTCTGACTCATGAATCACAATAAACACCTTGCACTGGAAAGGGGCATTCCGAAGCAATTTCAGCGTCCGCACCCACTAACCTTTATCTATCCGGGCATTGATCATGGCTGACCGGCCTGCAATCTTTCCAACGCACCAATTGTTTTTTGGACCATGTTCTCAAGTAGTTTGTGGACCGGCCCTTTGACAACGGCAATCACTCACTTGCCCGCAAACCGACATGGAACCAAGAAAGGGTGTCCCACACAAGTATACCCTGCCTCCAAAGATGGGCGATGGAGGGGTGAAGGGGGGGATTCGTTCCCTCACTTCAAGGATTGGCTACGAAAGCTAAGAGGCAATCCACCCATTCAACCTTGGGCACCCCAACAACGCACAGAAAACACAACTCAACTTCCGGATCCGCTTGGAAGAATCCAAACAAGCATACGCAGTGCGCTTGGGTAGCCAGCTGCTGGGAGCATGTCCGCTTGCACATTCTATGCGTGAGGTAGTTTGTGTCCAACCCTGGTCTAAAGCAATCAGGCCCCTTTTGCTTTCCCAGAGTGACTCTAAATGGGGCATGAAACCAGACTGAAACCGGTGGAATCTAGTAGACTAGGTCCAACCGAACTAGACGATCAAAAGGATGGCTGGTGCATGGGAAACCTTCCGTTTGCTTGTTTGCTCTTTTTTTTGATAGAATAGATAATCCCTGCACATTTCCTCGCTGGAGGAAAAAAAAAAAAAAAACAGACAGCTATGCTCCTCAGTGCCAAGCTTGGCTTTATATCCCAACCTGCCAGCGGCTTTCCATAGGATTGGGGGGCTTCCCCCCAAATGGTTCCATCGAAAACCAGAGAAAACCCACCACGCCATGGCTTCCTGTGGCTTGTTGGTTTGCTGGGAATCGGTCTGGTTCGGAAGTTCTCTGAGGGCATCGCCGGAGATTTGTCTCAAAACTAGGGCCCCAAAGACTGGTTTTTGCAGAGTCCCTGTTCGCTCCCCGGGAAAGACGGAGGAACCCTGCGAAAAAGGACATCATGAACCAAGCGGGGCCAACAAAAACAGGGAGAGATGAAACCCAGCCACCAGAAGGGACACGCCCCCAGGTCACGTCCACTTCCGGGCCTCCGGGTTGGCTGGCGGCACCAGGAAACCCTCCACGCCGTCGTCCAAGGCCTCGGGGGGTTGGAAGCGGGTGAGCGGTGGGGTGGGGAGGTCTGCTGGATGGTCAATATGACGTATGGCTCAAAATTAAACCAGGAATTGGACCGCAGGTTTTGGCCCGTGTTTCCACTTGCTCGGGTTCCATTTGGGGCACCTAATTATTTTTGACCCACAGCCATTCGAACATGCTCCGAATCACTCGGGAGCCCACGGGGCGACCGAATGACTCATTGTGAAAGGCGGAATGGACTATGGGTTGTCTCACAGCGCTTGGGCGCAAAAGAAACCGCAAAGGAAACACGGAAAAGGGCACCCCTCAAAACACACCAAAAAAAACAAGGTGGATAGCCCAATACAGGGCACGGTGGCAAATCGTACATCCAAGGGGTTGTTGCAACCAAACGCTCGAAAGGGCTGTTGCCTATCAGTCGATCCAACATGACCTCGTATCTCAGGTGTGGTTTCCCAAAAAGCAAGAGGAAGTGGGTGGGATCCAAACAGAAGGATGGGTAAAGATCATGGTGAATCAATGGGACTAATTTCAGGGGCGAACCATGGCGAACCCAGGGGAAAGGCATGGTTTCAAATTCTAGGGGTTGATTCCCCATTCCAAAAAATAAACAAAGTTGGAAAGCAGGAGCAAAGTCCAGGGGACATGGGTGGTTGACGGTTTTCAAACAGAAGGATGGGTGGTGATGGGGAATGAATTGGACCAATTCGGAGAGCTTCCACACTAATCTAGGAGTTGATCCCTGATTCGAAACAAGTCATGGTTCACATCTGAATTTCAAGACCCCCCGTATTAATCCGGTCCGGCAATGATTGGGTGGGTGCTTCGCAAATCAGTGGGGATTCGGCGTGGGGTTTGGGTTTCCCTGGGAGTGCCATCGTTGTTTGGACGGTAATTGACCTCCCCACTGACCCCAAAACATGACAGATCAGCCAGATTCAGAATCGCGTGGTACCGCCTTTGAGAATCCTTTGAGACAGGACCCCCTCGCCCTTCAAACAACAAAGGAAAGCTCCCCCCTTGGAGCGGCAAACCTTGCAAAAGCGCGTTGGCAAGCTTCAAAAGCACCTTCCATGATGTTGACCTCAAAGCGAAACCCCAAAACAAAAGTGGGCGTGTCTTAAATAGGGGACCCCCAAAATGGTTGGTTTCCCCTTGGTTTCCCTTTAAACTCACCAACCAAACACGATGCCCATCTTGAAATAGACCAGCTCAACCAAGGGCACCGTGGGAATCCACCAGGTTCTTCCCCGAATAAAACGCCTCGGGGATGGCGTCGATGCGGCTGCAAACCACCGGCTTCTCAAAGGCCATGGCCTGGCGAAAAGAAACAACCATAAGAATGTCAGATGTAACATTACTCGGTTGCTTTCTGATTCCTTGCTAAAAGTTTAGCTTTGAGTGGTTTAATACGGAAAACCCATTGGTTGGCAAAAAGCTAAAGTCCTAACATCCAAGCAAAATGGACCAAAGACTGGGGCTTGAACAGGCAACGTCTGAACCACACGTGTGTCGCATTGGCTTGACACTATCATTTGTTGTGTTTTGCTTTAAGTGCCAAGTGGGAACCCAAAGCTATCAATGGTTGAACAAGATGGGGAGCGCTTTGTGAGTGTCAGGGCGGAAGGCGGGGTTCCCTTGGCGGTTGCGATTGAGGAATCGCGCGTGGAAACCACTTGAATTTATGACGGGGGACCACCTCACCAAAACAATCCTACACTGGCAAGTGGGATCTACAGAACAGTTGAAGTACCAATCTGGGCCCAAAATGGTGGTTTTCCTTCTGGTTGTCCTCTAAACCAAGCCCAAAAAGCAAAAGACAGACCCAAAGCCCTTTTCGAGGCGCCATCGCGGGTCTGACACGTTTCGCGTTCGCCTCGCAAATGACCAATGGCAGCACCTCGTTCAGGGACGGCACCTTCGATCAAGGGGGTTGGGAGCCTCACCAAAGGTCTGTATTCGACTCCGGGGTGGCTTCCAAGAGGAAACCACAAATTTTGGAGGGCCCCCCATTTTCAAACAAACCCATTTTGAAGTTTGCGGGTTCATGGGGAACTGCTCACGTTTCAAAGTGGTAACACAGTGCTCAGGTTAAAGGTCGTACCAAAGAGCAACCAAGTTATGCTGGTCCCCAAAAAGACAAAGGAAAACCAAAAGAAGGTTGTTGACACAGCTGTGGTTTGAACAAAGCTGTGCTTCCGGCCGGCGGCCAAACTACGAGGCCACGGAGGCGGAAGCCTCATGCAAAACCTAGAGGCAAACAGTTCGGAAGCGTGTTTTACCATATACTGGCACCTGGAAGCACTGGGCCGGGTAAAAAAAACAAAAACGAGAGTTATTCACATCCTTCCTGTTCCCTGCAAACTGAGACCAAGGTTCTTGAAAAACATATTCGGGCAACCCTGGTGGTTTTGCCATGGGGAATTGCACTCCAGGAAACAAAGGCTTTTTGGAACCACTGATCTCTTAAGCTACACCTCATTGGGCCTTGAAACCTCCATCCCTGGTTTTATATCTGTGTGCGATGCTTTTGAAGGTCGCCCTTTCCTCGCGGTCGCATACAAGAAAAACACGCAGGCCGGCCATCCCTGACTTGGACCCCCACTTTTGGCAGGAACTTCTGGGGCTTGTCCATTGGGGGTCATGCTGTGAGGCGGGTCCGCCTCTGGTTTCTGGGCTGGCCAAATTCAAATCCCCTGGGCTACACAGAACCCCCACCTTTCAGCCAAAAACTACGGAACCCGGACGATTCGCTGAAGGTTTGCCTTCCTTTCCAGGAAAACCCTCCGGAGGCCTTGGTGGGGCTTTCTCACGTGATCTGATCCGAAGGCCCGAGGATTTTCGGGTCTACTTCCCCTTAGAACATCACCCCCAAAAAAAACGGCCAAAAGCTCACGTGTTGAAGCTGCAAGGGCCATTTCGGGGCTCTAAACTCAAATCTTCCCACTCCGAACTTGCGAAAAAAAGGCACCACCACAACATCCGCCGCCATGTAGAACCGCATCACCTCCGCCTGTCAGTCTCACCGATTCCATTGATCCGCAAATCGCAAGAGGATACATCCATCTAGAAAACGGGTTGAATGCGCTTTTGGTGGGCTTTCATAATATGGTGTTCCCCCTGTTGGAGCTGTGTTTGCAATCTGTTAGTCTGTATTCTTATCCTAGAGGGGTGGATCGACAAAAGCCACATCCAAACTGTTTTTGAGAATCCAACAACAACACCAAGTTTGACGATTCGGATCCGAATCGTCTCCTGTGAGGAACAAACACGCTCAAACAGCATGGTGCAGAAGCACTTCGTCTAAGTTCTATGCACTTGCTTTTAGCCTAGGCCAACAGGATTCTGAAGACGTCCATTTTGAGAACCCGGAAGACCCGGGTGCCTGAATGTCCATCACGGTGATCTGCGGGGTTCCTGCTTCCGTGGGCTCCTCCCACCTCCTGCAGCTCACCTTGTTCGCCGCTGCTACCTCTGGCCGGGGTTCGTGCATTGATTGCAAACAACAAACTAGCTTAAACAACGAGCGTTTCAACATGATGAAACAATATATCAGCTTCCCCACTTTTCGTGGTTTGGATTGTGGTTGCAAGATGTTTCGGGGCGGTCCTCCATTTACCCTCTGCAAGAACCGGGGAATGAAGTCCGAATCCAACACCACCAAACAAAACATACTGATGTAAGCTTAAACGATCATGGTGGTCCCGGAAAAGGACAAACCAAAGTCGCCAGCCGGAGGGAAACACGGGCACCTTGCTTTTGTCTAGGCTCGTAAGTGTTTGAGGCCTGTCTTAAAGGGAACCGAGAGAGGTGTGGTTGTTCCAAGGCTTTTTTTTTCTTTTTGCGAGAAAACACACACACACACACACCCTCATCCAAAAGGGGACCCCCCCAGAAAAGTAGCTCCAGGCCTTAATTTCCACGGGACACTTGCCAGACACAGAAAAAACAAATTGATTTCAACTGCAGAATTTCTCGTGACTGGTTCCTTGTATTAAAAAATAACTTATATAAAAAGAAGAGCAAGACTTGCCTTTTGGTGCTTTGGCTGAGTCCGGCCTCAAAGATCTGGTCGATGTACTTGATCTCATGGTCGCGGATGTACCGTGCACCCACAATGAGCTGCTTCAGATTGGTGCACTTGTCCTGGGAGCAATGGCGATGGCACGTACTGTGGATGGATAAACTCCGGCCCTAGTAAGCAAAAGAGCACCCCATCCCCCAAACTGCGTCAAAATGACTCCATGAAGAAGGAAGAACATCTCCCCATGACCCATTTCCCCGTGGGCAAATCATCCCTTCAATGGCTCATTTCCAGAATTGTTCCCCCCTCAATCAAATCTGATTTTCGCGCCCATTAAATGTTGACCAATTCCGCATCTTCGAGCTTTCCATCTGCCATTCGCTGTTAGAAACGTCCTCGTTGATGAGGCGTGCGCAAGCCGTCGCCGAGTACATCTGCCCCTTCCTGCTGCACACAGTGCCCAAATGCAGCACTAAGAAGTCCTCGTCCGTGTAGCCAAGTGCTGCTCGCACCTGCCCGACCATGAGTGAGAGGATTAACAGTGGGTTGGGCTTCCGAAGGGCGGTTCCTGAAGGGGATCCCTATTTTCATACAGGGCAAATCCCCGACAACCCAACCAAACCAGAGAGACCAGTGGGACATGGCCAACCGACAGCTGACTGGCAATCTGCTCATGGCGCTCTGCCCACGATGGGCCCCCGAGCATTGCGACATTGAGGTGTGGGGGGGGGGGGCCAGACTCACAGCGCAGGGATTGAAGAATGGGACGTCAGCTACCAGGGATGATACTCAACAACACACCACAGAGATAGCAAAGGGCGCCCTGTATAAAGTGTGGGCGCGCCTATTCCTCAATCAAGTGACCTCACGCGGCTGCTGTGTGAATCGCCCACGTCTGAACAAGGTTCTCTGGCCACGTCAGCAACCAATCCGGGCAGGGTATGTCTCATCAGGTCGGACACCCTACCCAAAAAAAATGGTTTGAGTTGGGACCATCCTCAATAAATCTGCAAGGGGAAGGTGTCTGAAGGTCTAAAGGAAGAAGATTGTGGCCCTGGCTTGGATACTTGCACCTTTTATACCTTCCATTCCCCCCACCTTCCCCCGCAAGCCCTCAGCCCTAGTCATTCCCTGTACCCAAACAACCAAGTGGCTAGGTTGAACCTCTCTTGCCTTCAAAACGGCTTCATAAGAGTCCTGCACCTTCAAATCCCTAACAAAAACCAAAGCCTAAACTGGGACCCTCAAATCATTCCTCGCAGATTTCCCCGAAGCGATTCAAAGGAAACGGGTTTCCTTAAGTCTCCCCTGACACATCAGACCTCAGGTTTCAGGAAACCACAAATCCCATCCGAAGCCGTCCAGGGCCCGTCTTCGTACGTGATTCGCAGTCCGGCCTCGCGGCGGTCCTGTGTCTGCTTGAAGTGATCCAAGCTCTGCAAGGGGATGCCGTTGTAGATAGTGAGTCCCGCCTCAAGGCTTCGAAAGCAGAGACCATGTGAACAACCAGCTACTCACTTCCGATCGAGTGGATTGGCAAAAAAAATCCAAACGTTCTGTTTACCACTAATATGGTCCAACGCCAAAAAACATAAAGTCCAGGAACTCAGTAAGTGAGCCTAGTTCTGTGAACAACCATGTGAGGGTTGATCTAACTCCCTTTGGCTCCCAGTTGTGACCATGGGTAACTTCTCCCGTTTAGTGTGACACATCATCTGTTGGGTGGTTTTCCCCAATGGTCATCCAGGTAATGGACCTTTTGATCAAACCCCCAGGTGTTGCTATCATTTTTGACCAACCCCATATTTGCTCAATCTGTGAACAACCCACATTACTTGCACCCCCATTTTGGACCGACCTGTTTCAACACGTTCAACGCCCCGTTTTGGCTCCCCTAACTCTAGGGGCCCGAATCACGCATCGGTCCCGCCTCTGGCTTGAACATGCCATCGTACTGCCGGCGCTGCATATCCTGAAGTTGGATTCGGCCAAAGTGGGAGCTCTTCATTCACCATGTTCCTTTTGACTTTTGCTTTGAACATGGTGGTTCCCTTTGGTTTACCTAGACAAAAAGATGGGAACATTGGGTTTGCGTTACCGTCGATTGCGTGGTTTGCCAACAAAATGAATGGTTCAAACCCAAAAGGTGACTAAAGTCCAGCAACTCGAGAACATGTACTTATCTGTTCTATGCTGCCGTCAATACCGAGAAAATGATGCTCTACAAGCAAGAAGTGCAGTCCGGCGCCAGTACATATTATGTAAGGCAGTTTGGCTCGACGTACCGCTAAGTATCATGACATGTGCTGGGTGGTTGTGGACATCCTGGCTCTGAATGGTGGTTTGAAGGGAAGAATCACCGGACCCAAAAGGAAGCTCTGAGAACATGTTCACTTTCAGAGGCCTGAGGGAACAACCCTGGAAAGCAAAGCTCCTCAAGTTTACCCCTCTGTGGTGGTGTGTTGCTTGGTCACAAAGGTGCCTACCCAGTTGCACCCTACTTGTAACCCAAGCCATTGATCCATAGCAAGCGACACTGGATACATCCGCTCGGGATGCCTAGGATCCGGGTCACAAATTCACAAACGCAAGCCAGGGGTCTGAGAGGTTGGTTTCGAGGGAAACCAAAGGAGCACCATGGCGACGGGTCCCCCGAAAAAAAAGAAAAAGAGAAACCGTCACACCATATTCTGAGCCACGGGTCAACCTGTGATTTGTGGGAAATCGAGTGAGTCCTGCACTTGCACGTGGACGGAAACTACTGGACATGTTCACCGGACCTCCTACGTATGTGTGACGTCCTCCATCAACAAAATGAACAACGGCCACGGAAACAACAAACAACGAGCATGTGTGTTTGTGTGTCGTATTTGAGGGTACCCTTTGTGGGGCTGTGTGCGAAGACACCTTTATGTTGCAAGTTTTCCACTATGAAACAAACGCATGGCGTTTGATCAACATCCCCCTCGGCCCGCCCCAATTTAATGAGTAGCTTTTCCCATGTGGTGAAAGTCATCTAGTTTGGTGGTTTCCCTAATGGCCACCTGATGTTCATCGGGCCTTTTGATGAATCCCGCATCTCAAGAGCAGTGAAAGAAAGCGTTGGCCCAATAAACATGGACAGGACAAACAAGCAACAAAACACGAAGTCAGAATTTGGCAACGGTGATGGCCTAAACATTGAGAATTACCTCCCCCAAAAAACAACAACAACAACAACAACATGAACTGAGTAGTTTAGAGTTATCACCTCCCATAAGTGATCAATCTCCAACAAAACATCCAACACATAAATCAGTATCTGCAATGAAACCATCCTGGAACCCTGGACCCGTTTCTGCGTTTTGTTTCTCCCCGAGTCGCCGAGGGGAAGACAATGGTGCCCGCAGCCGCGAAGGCTTTTCGGATCACCACGGAGTCGATGTCTTTGCCTCGTCCAGAGCCAGTGGATTCACGGACAAAAACGTGAATAAGACAACGGCACGTCTTTTGTTTGGGAGATTTCGGGAGGCTGTTCAGTGCCCCCCCTCAAAAAAAATGGAAAAAGGGAACCAATGGAGGTCTGGAGTAGCCTGCAAATTCAAGAATTGCGAAGCTGCAAAGGAGCTGTGGCTCCTTTTGTCCTCAAAGCTTGCCAGAAAGCGCGCAAATCAAGATGCCCATGGCTACACGATCATGGTTGAAAGGGTGGCAGGCAAAGGGCAGCTTGGGTAAATTGGGTAAACGGCACCCTTGTAACCAACCAATAACCACCCCGAACAGGGGAGTAAGTTTCAGACAGGGAACCAATTACTTTGTAGGCTTCCCTTAAAGTGAATATTTGATGGGGTTCTCAAGATTTATTTTGAAGGGGAGGTTCCCCAAAAGCACCATTTAGCTGGTAAATTCGCGGAGGGGAGCTGTGCACTTCTCCAACTCCGAACTCGCTTTGACCTGCATTTTACGCAAGGCTGGCAGTCAAATGAATTGGGCAATCTTAGGGGTCTATCCCCTTTTTTATGGCAGCTGTATCAAAACTATGTTCGCCTTTTCCCTTGGGGGTAGTGGTTGGGGATTTGGAAAATGACTTCCATCCTCTCCTGGCTCGCTTTGAGTATCTGTTGCTGTTCTGGTTACATCTGTTTTGCTTGTTTACGATGGCCACTTCATGGCTATTTCAATTGGCTTTGGATGAATGAGTGTTGCTTGGCTTGGTATACAGAGCTGCTTGGTTGGCATGTGTGCTTCCATCCTGAAATTACAATAGTTCCAACACCCATGAACAAAAAGGAATTGCTGGCTAAGAAAAACTTCATCATGGGGCCCGCCTGATTTACCCCGGATCACAGAGCTCGTCAAGTAATTTGCACTGATGCCGAACCGTTTCGCCGCCTTTCGCAACGAGAAACACGCAATGTGATCAGCCCTCAAAATCCTCGGGCCGTTTCTCATGGGCAACGCCCTCCGCAATTGACACCCCAAGAGGCCTTGTCCTCAACATAAATGCATGCTTCCAGAACACAAAGCCACCATCACGCTTGCTTTTCCCAGAGACCCGCAAAATCGGTCACAGCCGCGCTGGGGGAAGAAAAAAAAAACGGACCCCCGGGGCCCCCGAGAGAACGTCGCCGGAGGTGCACATGAAGACCTCCTTGGCGTAGTAATCCAGCTGGTCCTGGCTTCCGCCGAGCCACACTTGGCGCTCAGAGGGATGCATTCGTTGCTTTGCCTTCGGCGTTCCTTTAAACCGACCCAACACAAGGCACCCTCCGACAAAAACAGTGAAGCCCAGGGAAGATATTTGTGCCTTCCATTGCGCAGTTGGGATGCATGAATCTCTATGTTAATACTGGGCTAAGCCGCGAAACCCAACGCTGCGAAGCGTATGTTGTCCATCATCCGCCAACCCAACAAATGTGCCAAATCCAAGGAGTCGAGGAAAAATGGATTGCAGAAGGTCTGATTGTTTGTGACCTGTTATGCGTATTGTTGCAGCATAAAGTGGTCAACGCAAAATCAGCTCCGAGGGGTGGACAATGGGCTATGCACTTCTTGCATCACTTTTTGAGTACCCCAAAGAATTCCACGAGGAACCACACGAATTTGGAAGGACCCTCCCTGCTGAACCCAAGCTTAAGCATAAAGCCATGATTAGCCTAAGCCGAACCGGTCATTTCACCTTGGCTGTCTGCTTTGTTTTGGGGATGAACAAATCATGAGGGGATGACCAGAAAAAAAAAAAAAGAACTGAACGAGCGAAGGGCTGCAAAACGGAGGTGTCCGACAACCAGTTGATAACTGAGTTCCAATATTGGACTACCTCGAGGTCGACTTAAACCCAGGAGTGAGGGGTGTCTGATTTCCCACCAAAGCAAATGTCCGGTTTAAGTCTACCTGGGGTAGTAAACAAAATGGAACCCTGGTTGCCAAGGCCTTTCTTGTCCCAGGCTCGAGGGACGTTTTTCGCCCTCCTGGATTCAAATAAACCAGTGAGGCCGAGAAGCGGAACCCAACTTGGGGGAATCGACTCATCTCATGGCCCAAGCCACGAAAGTTCGAAGCGGAACACAGGAAGTGAGCTGGAGAAAGCAACTAACTTGGCCTACCAAAGTACGCAAAAAAAATAAGATGGTCAGAGGTGGATTCATATTTGGACCTCAAAACAGACATATGTCCCTCAGACCCCCAGCGGATGTCCATGGGAAACATGTTTGGGGTAGTTGACTTGAAAAGTCTTTCCCCTTCCCACTCGCTTCCTGGGTGGATGGATGGGCCAAACAAAGTGACCAAACTATTTGTTCCCACCAGAATGGTCTAAACCCCCAAAAGTGAGCCCAAACAAAGGTTGGGAAGAAAGAATTGCCACTGGGTTCTGGGTTTCTGAAACCCAATCCCTCAGGGTAGGCGTCACGCGCGACAGGGTTCCCTATATTTTCCCTAACATCACCCCCTAAGAGAACTCACCTTGGGGCCCTGTCGAGGTGACGTTAAAACCGACGGAAATACCCCAGGTGTCTGTCAAGATGTGAATAGACCCAGTGAATTCATGGACGAAAACCAGGACACAACCCATGAGACTACCAACACTTGTCCCATAAATTTCGCCTGGTGCCATGTGGGGCTTTTTGGGGAGGTTGTAAAGAGACGGCCAAAGGAACATGTAACCAGCCATGCAAAAAAAGGGGGTCCCCAACTTTGCGAACCCATGAAATTTCTCACCCGCTCGAGCCTCTGAATTTTTCTAGATCAAGCCCCTTCGTTTCTTTTGGCGACCCCAACCCGAAGAAGGCACGATTTAAAGCCCCTTCGTTTCTTTTGGCGACGGACGGCCCGACCCGAGGGGCCCACCGACGCCGGTTGGATGATCTCTCCTGGGGCCAGCTTTCATGGATAACCCACACGGAGGGCAGCTTCAGCTCCGCGGCCATCAGGATGATGTCGCAGCGCATGATGGTGTTGGCCAACAGCAGCCCCACCCCTCAACCAAATACCCCCCCAAAAAAAAAACGGTCTCAGGGGCTGAGATTCCAAAGAGGTCCGTTTCAGATGCACCCATGGCCATTGTCGACTTTATAGGTGCATGTTATGCACCCATGGGCATGTTCGATGTTATAAGTGCATAGATGGACCCATGGCCATTTTGAGTTTGTTTTTGGGGGGCTGATTTTTCCCAGAATGAAGCCATGACGACGATTACTTTAACGGTACGAAAAATGGACTATACATTGAGCCTTTGATACAGGAGCCCCAAGACCTGAAAGGCCTTTCACCCCAAAGAACTTCAAAGAATACTGTTTTGGGAACCCTAGGGCTAGCTGGTAGCTTAGATTGGCGATTCGGATTGGAACATGTCGCGAGGGTAAATGGGGCACCCCGAACCTGTCAGAAGGTTTTTCCCTTGACCAAACAAAATGCTTTGTCTAGCGCACTGTTGACACCAAAACTGTTGCTATGACATTCGTTGGGCCAACATACCTTTGGGTTTTACGGTACACCCCGCGCGAGACTTTTAAACAACACGAGTCTGGTGAAAACAGTTGACATATGCCGCTCTATATCTTTTGATTGCACCTAGCAAATACCCTGTGGTGGTATTGCGGTACACTCACTGTGCAACCCTTGGGACTGGGGAACTCTACTAAACATGAACTGAACCAAACCTGAAAACCTGAAGACATGCCAACAGTGAAGCTCGGTTTCCCCTTGATCCTACCCCAAAGGCCACAGGAGTCGGTTTCCCCAGGTCTCATGATGGAAACCTGCATGTATCTCAGGAGCGCCAAACAATGCACGCAAAAGGTGTGAATTTGTATAAGCTGGCACTTAGTCACTTGGTGAGGAAGGAGGGGGAGTGTTAAAACTAAGACATATTCATTGCTGGTCGGACTTGCACCAAGAACGGTTAACAACAAGTGTAAACTTGTGCTTCCTTGACCTGACATTCGGTGGGGATTCATGTCCACCCACTTTGGAGAGATGGCCCCCCATGCTCAACACTTGCAAGGTGATACACACTCAGTTAGTGGCAACAGACTATACTGACTAACCTGCTTGTGTGCCACTATGGTCTTCAGTCTTTCCGAAAAGTGACTCAAGGACTTGGGGAGTGGTCCGACACGGGGGAGGCCTTCTTACATCCTGAGCCAACTGACACTTGGTGTGGCGGACAAGGTAATTGTTCAAAGTCCGAATGGTTCAAAACGCTGGGCAAAGAACCCTTCTTGCATCGCTTGCCAAGAAATAAGCACTGCTTAGTGGTTTGCGGGAGAACACAGAATGGCTACTGTAGTTAGCCTGGTTTCCATGGGTAGCGGGTCAATCGGAGGGAGGGAGAAACAGATTTATGGTTCAGTGTGTCCCCTAAGCTTCTAGGCTTGTAAGAGGCATGGAGACCGCCGCTGGAACCGCCAAGCCACGGCGGGCCAGCAACGCTTTGCTCAAATCCGCCAGAAAGGTCGGAGAGGTTGTGTCCTAACATGGCAGTTTTGGCCCGAGTGCAAAAGCCTAGCTTTGTGGCATAGTAGGAAATACATGGGCTTGTTTCAAAATAAGGGAACCCCCCAACATGCGTGGTGTCCCTTTGGTTTCCCTTTGCAACAACCCCAACACCCTCAAAAAGAGACGCCCACATGCGGTGCTTGGAGTGATACATGCAAATCCCGACTACAACCTGTGACCCATCGCCCTGTGGGGTTGACCATGTTTCTGGTGAGCAACCCAAACAACAACGGGCGAGGTTTCTTGTGTTTTCAATATTATTATTATATATATACATAAACTGGGATGACTTTGCGAATGCCCCAAGCAAAAAAAAATAGCTTGGTGTAAAAGAACAGTTGGTGAAAAGAATAGGGTATCAACCGGAGCCTTGAAATGTCAGTAGTTGGGGTTCCTTGCCCTGATTCTTTGTTTGGTCTCGTGGTCCTTGGGTTTTATGAGGAATCGGGGCTTCAAACCAACCCAAACCGAGCCAAACCACATGTTCTCAGCTTCCCTCTACTTTGTGGTTGGGACGGTGGTTTGGAGGTGTTCCAGGGATGGTTTGACCCTACACAATCCAACTCCAAACCACCAATCCAAGCCACCAATCCAAGCGGTAACCTGATGTTGTTGGTGGATGACGTCTGGAGTTGTGATACAAAGAGTTGACCTTTATGCCGAAACAAACTTCTCACCCTCTCCCAGTTCCCCTTCCATGAGGCAACCAAGGGAAGTGGAATCCATTTGTGGCTAAAGTTGGGCACGTATCGAAACAAACAGACCCGTGGACGACTTCAGGAAATCCAAGTTGCTCACTTTGTGGGTGGATTGTTCCAAAAAGAAACCAAGGGACCAAGATTTGAAAAAGTCAAAGGAACATGGCGAAGGGGTGCCCACTATTGTAGCGGCGATTGGGTTTGCTGCTAAACATCAAGTCAAGAACGTCACAATTGAACGAGGTTCTCTATCTGCGAATCCTTGGTTGGGGGTGGCTTACTGCTTCCCCCGGAATTCATACACCCATGTTTGTCTTCATGTGGAGGTGTTCCGCTCCCGAAGTGATGAATCCCCACTAAAAGGGACATACCCTCATATTAATAAACAGGGGTTTGTTCATCTGGGGTCAACATTATCTCAAGCTGCTCCTGTCATTTGGTATTCTGCATTCAGCTTACGGAGGCCTCAGACCATTGGAAGTTGTGGAGCTTCCGGGCTCCGTCGTTCCAAGGCGCCTACACCCAAACGGCAACACCTGATTCTTGAACAAATACAGATTATCGGAAAGACCGGGGAATGAACGTCAGCAATGTCCTAAAAATGGCTAATTCACATGGGCGTCTCAAAAAAAAAATCCGGGGTTTCCGTTTTCCGCGGCTGGCTTCCTTCTGGGTGCTGGCCAGGCGTCCACGATGGACACTTCCAGGCCCAGCTTCTCGAAGTCGTCTTTCATGGGCCCCGCCTTGGGGGAGAAGATGGTCAATGGCTGACCTGGCGGCTGAACGGCCGGGGGAACCCACGGAACCCCTCGGCCTGGGGAACCCATGGAACCCAAAAAGACCGAACAATGAGAGAAATTCTGGGGCTGTCCTTTCTTCTGAGTCTGTCTTTCTTGGGCTTGGCTGAAGTGGAAACCAAAAGGACAAACAAACATCGCCATTTTGGAGGTTCCTCTTTGAGCCAACATCCATGTGCTCGGGGTTCCGGGCCCCACAAAAAGCATAATTCAAGGATGCAGCTGGGTTTGGACTCAACGAGGACCCCCACTGGTATGGTGCTTAAAGAGCAAGCAACGTTCAGTGGTGACAGCGTCCCCTGCACAAGGCGTGCTTGTTGGTGGGCGAACACGCAACTGTTTAACCAACAAATCAAAGATTGAAGATCCAACTTCGGTAGCAGCCAAGCGGCTACCCTTCAAGACCCGCGCGATATAGAGGCAGAAGTTGTTGGCCCCATTTCTGGCGCAGAATTCGGCCCCGGAATCCGTTGCTTCCCCAAGTTTTTGATCGGTCGATCGGTCTTTTTCCCCTGCTCTGCCTTTCCCGCTCCGTTTGCAACACAACCTGGCTATTGACAGCATGCCCAGTTATGTTGGAGCATATGTTTAGCACACCTTGTAAAGTTCCAGCACGACCTAGCCTGTCCCAAGCATTTCCACAACTTTAGTTGCAGTATTCAAACATATCACGCGCTGTCTAGTTGTTGCCTGAAATAGCCCTAGCATATGTCTAGCGCATATCTGGCGATACTGCCCGTCTTTACCAGGGTCAGCTTGTTTCTGCGTAGTATATGCTCAGCTTTTTAGCAATATTATGGCATATGTCTAGCGTATGTCTACTACGTCCAGCATTCATTGAACATGTTGATGCATATCTCCAGCCTAATGCCCATGTACTTCTTGCATGTGGCCACCATATGTCAGGCACGTATATTTCATCCGAACAAAACAATAACACAACACAGACCCTATGTACCCATGTTGGCTGAGTTAGGGTCTGTTCTTGATTTGTCTTCAACACTCGAGGTGTTTCACACGGTTCCAAAAAAACAACCACCTCGAGCTGTCCAAAAAACAAAACAGACCCCGTGTATCCATGTTGGCCGAGGGTCTGACATGTTCTGTGGTTTTGTGAAAACTCGACGCTATTCACGTGTCCAACAAAAGCAATGAGGTTTCAAACACAAAGCAACCAGAAACAACTCATTTCAGACCTTATGACTCCATGTTGGCTGAGTTAGGGTCTGAATATGTTTTGTGCTTTTGGAAAACTCAAAGTGGTTCACAATTGTCCACATGAAAAACAAACCACACGTTTTCCCCCCCAAAAAAAAACATGCAAAACCCCTTGAGTTTTACAAAACAACCAACAACATGTCGGGCTCTGAGTTGGGGACTCAACATGTTTTGGTTCTTTGAACTCGTGCTTTTCACACTTTTCCAAAACATGCAAAACAATCGTCAAGCGTTTCAACAGAAAGCACAACACCAAACAACATGTCCAAGCCCATATGGCTCTGGATAGCTACAGTAGTACAAAATGGTCGATGTTTTGTGTTCTGTTGATTTTTGAATTTTGACACATACCCAAATGGGTGGTTCTCAAAACCGAGGACAGGCCTTTTCACTAGTTTATGGGAAACCAACGGACTCCAACCATCCTTCGGGTCGCCTATTTTGAGAAGCATCTTTAAACCTCACCAAAACAGAGGGGGAACTAAAGAAGAAGGACTCACCTGGATTGGGTTTGTCAAAATGGGGGATTTTGCAAAAGCAGGCCAGCCCAACAAAGAACTCAAAAAGAAGGACACACCTTCGAGAGCTCTCCCGTCCTCTCCAAGGAGTGGGTGAAGATGGCGCAGGTAGGCCTCCCCGCATTCTCCCAGCGCAAATCCTCCGCGGTGGTGGGCAGGTCTGCTGCGCTGAAGCTGTGGTCGTGTAGCACGTGCAACACCTCGCTAAACGACCGGACAATATATATATATATATAAATACATAATACATATATATATATATGCTTTGTCTGAGGGAACACCCTTCCTCAGGGCAAACTAAGGGAATCCAAGTTAAGGTTCACTAAAAATGGGCAGGAATTCTAATTGGGACCCTGTGATGGACATCGTTTGGATGGTAGGTTCTGCCTGGCTTAAGTGTGGCTATAGGGCAGCCGAGATAAACCCTTCCAAGCATGTAGAACAAAAGTCAATGGGTTGCGATGGCGCTGCTCGTAGGTGCAGGATTTCGCCATCAGTATGGACCTGCAATGCAACACACCAGGCAAACACAGGAAAAAAAAAACATACGCACACATACAAATCAACACAAAACAAAGACACACACACACAAAACAAAACAAAACACGCAAAGGCATGTAACACGTAACACTGGCTCTAAAAGCTGGCCAATGGAACCCACAAAAAGACGCGAACCAAAGCTGACCAGGGCGAAAAGCAAAACTCCGCCTCCTGGATTGCTGCTCAAAACGATATCCTTTTACTTTCCCTGCAAAAGGTGGTCAGGGTCGGTTGTCTAAACATTTGTTGCCCAACCGGCCCCAGCCCTGCCAGCAACCAACACATCACGTCCGCCCTGCCCCGCAGGGCGGACGGCTTCCCAGGAGAGTTTCTGAGAAACTCGATCCGCCTCGCCTGCCATCAGAACTCCGAATTACTCTGGGCGCCCTCCGACTCCCTTAATGTTAACCCCGGATCTAAGTTAAACCCCTGGTTGATTTTGATCGGGGGGTGTCCCCTTTTAGTGGGGATTCATTCACTTTTGGAGGGGAACACCCCCATATTAATAAACAGGGGTTTATTAATCCGGGGTCAACGTTATATGCCAACTTGGATAGCCCCGGCTCCTTGGCTCCCCACCTCTTGGATGGTTTCGTTGCTGAGCTTGTTCTTCAAGAAGACGGTCATCAGCTGCTGCGCACTCCAGACGTCATTCATGATCGATGGGGCGCGAGGGGCAAGTGCTGGGGCCTCCTCCCGCTTCTCGCGGCCTTGGAAAGCATCAGGCTTCCTACCCCCCCCTTCCCCCCCGCCCGCCCGTGGATCCGTTTGCCTCTTTGAGGTTGGTTTAAAGGGCAAACAAAAGGAAAACCAATTGCGAGGGTCCCCTTACTTCGACAAATCTACCAACCCGTATATATATATATATGTATATAGGTAGCCGAGTGGAATTCATTTTAGAAACCTACGGCTAAATGACAAGAGCTACAGGGACAACCGCGATCTGGAGTCATGGACCTACATGATTTTCCACTGGTCCCAGGGAAACGATGGGAACTGGAGATGATTTTTGCGGCCCCCGTATACGGACCATCTTGTAAATGGTTGTGGCAATCTCGCATCCCATCGGCTCAAGTTCAGCACCTTGAGTGAGATGTACCTGCCGGTCCAGAAAGGCTCCTTGTGAAGCAGTGCTTTGACGGGGAGCTCACTTCGTGGAGTGGCCAATAGAACGGACTGACACTTCTTATTTACGCTCAAACGGTCTTCCCAAAAAGTGCTGAAAGTCCATAAACTCAGGAAGCGAGGGCACTATTTACAAAATCCCAGAGACAAACCGCCAAGGGAAATGTAGAAGTTAGGTTTGGGGGTTTGACCTAAGGGGTCTACCAAGGATCAGGAGCCTCGGAGATACCTCCATGTCCATACCGAGGAACTTCTGTGGAGGCAAGTTGCAATCTGGGCAAAGTACCAACCTGAAAGACGTTCCCTGATGGAAAATGTTCCTACACGGGGGCCCCTTTGAGGTTCAAGAATTGTTTTTTGGGAGGGTAAGTCCAATCACAATCCAGCAAAAGGAAACTTGTAGCTATGGTGAAGGACCTTCATCTCGTTTTGCCCCCAAGTGAGCTCGCGGGAAATGTTGCAGAATGATGTGGCCTGGAAATCTTACTGCCATATCGCAGAAAGGGAGACATGTTGTGTGGGTGCTACCTGCAACTACGAACCCCAAAATGGATGCTGTGCCTCCTTGTCCCTCGCACCTAGCAACACACTAAAAGAGGCATTGTTTGTGGTCTTTCGTTGACATGCGTCGCACGTCAAAAAACAGTTCTGGCAAGTCCCATTCTCATTTCTTACATCATGAGATGCAGCTTCTAGGTGTTCGGCCTAAACCTGGCACAAACAAGTCTAACTTGGGAACACCAGTATGCACTTCACCCCCAAACTTTAAACTCTTCTAACAAAGGCAAACAAAAGTAGTTGGTGCACTGGTGGTCCGAAAAGCGTCTGTGAAGGCAAACCCTTCTACGAGATATATGTAAGATTAGATTCTTACGAAGGCTCAACCTCTTCCAATAAACATTGCAGAAGGTGTGTGTGCCAAGGGTTCTATGTGCCGAGAATAGTTTGCCAAGGCTTCTGCCTGACTCCATCTGCTCGGTCATAGTTAAGGTCAACTTACCCTAGCTATAACATAGCTTATAAGTGAGGCAACTGATGTTACAGGTCGGTAAGAGGAACTCTAAGTAGAACTTAAGTTGCTCACATGGATAAGTTAGCTATTGGAACAAGTCAATAACGATTTGGAAGCGGGTTCGTTGATGAGCGTACAACGGGCAATTGTTTCAAGCATGCTTCTCTAAACCGACTGAAAAGGGTGTCAGCCAGCTGACGGGCAAGCGAAACAGCCTTTCCGGGCAGGGGGTGTCTGCCAGGTGTCGGCCAGGTGTAGCCCCGCTGATAAATTTAGATGCTTTTCCGGGGATTTGTGTCGGCCCAACCTAGTCATAGGTAGGCACGAGCAATCTAGTATGCATTCACTTGCTTTGTCCTGATCTGGGTTGATCAAACTGACCCCTGCAAGAAGTTCTTCACGTTTCGCAGGTGAGTTGAGAAACCTTTCACGTGGCAAAAGGTTAAAAGCTGTCTTGAACACACAGACCTGGTCCGTGGTCAGAATGTCGCCAGCATGTAGCGTCGCAATCGCTGGGCGGCAATGGCTCCCCTTGCTATGGCTCTGACCAGTAGATGGCAGACAAAAGGGAAGGATTCCCACTAAATTCAGAGACCAGCCTCTCAATCAAACTGGGCTCAACAGTATATCCAACGCCGAGGGGCCAACGTCAGCTAAAGACATGCTCGCCTTTGTTGGGTGCGAGAAGAGGTCCTCCTCCACCTGACAGCAGCAAAACCTCCTTCCATTACCCACCTGCTTTCAAAAACCTGGTTTTCCCATGGTATTTTTGGACCCATTTGTTTCTAATGACTGGGTTCCCATGACCAAACTGCGATGGTTTTTGCACCCAAAACTCTGCCGAATCACAAGGACAGCTTTCCGCACAAGCAGGTTGATCGATGGCTTCCGTTACGAATTCACTCCAACAGGTCGTCAAAAGAGTATTAAACAGGAAGGGCTTCCCAAAGACTATTTTCTTCATACAAAGGGGGATTCCCTTGTATCACAGAAGTGGGAAGAAACCCCTTGATCCCACAACCCTGGTATTAAACAAGCAACCCCCCACATTCTATGCCAACTCCGGACGGGTGCCAAAAGGAGAGTAAAGCTGGGCGTGTCTAATAAACCGCCTTGCGTCTGTGTGCTTGCGCGCTGCTGTACGCCAAGCATTCTCTTCGTTTGATGCGCACCACAAACTCTCAACGCTTATTTGGAAGTTTGTGCTTGCATTTTGGAGAGGGGAAGCGCACATATAATGTATACATATTATGCATTTCTGCACATTTGTGAAAACAAACACAGCTAGCAAATCGTCGCTTGCCAACTCAAACCGCTGCCATCGGCATGCCCGACGGGCCCGCCACAGACCTACCAGCGGACACCCTCACCAAAATTGCGAAGGGCCAACTTGCATAATGTTGACCCAGGATTAATAAACCCGTCCCACTATTCGGGGGGTGTTCCCTCCAAAAGTGATGAATCCCCACTAAAAGGCGACACCCCCCTATTAATCAACCAGGGGTTTATTAATCCGGGGTTAACATTACCCCAAATGGAGACGGCGCTTAGAATGGTAGTCTGGCGCGCGAAACTACGACGACGGCATTTCAATACCTGGATACCTGGAAACTTAAATAATCTTAAATAGGTCAACAGGGACTTCACACTACGTCCGCAAGGGTTGCCGCTGGCCCGGCGGCAAATTTAAATGCCGATTTAGATAGATTCCGCTGGATTCAGCCGGATTCAGGATAGAAAGCCAGATTCAGCCGAAAAATCAGCTGGATTCAGTTTAGCCAGATTCAGAGGGATGATTTAAACAACAAAATATTTCATACTACCTCCAGGGCCTGTGAGGGACATGGACACTACCGATATGTTCTACGGAGAGGGCGTCCACCATCTTGAGAAACTCCAAACCATAGGCCGCCAGAGTTGCTCGCAGGTCTCGATTTTCTAAAACCTGTGCTGGGTTCCTTGGTCTATTCACCACAGGCTATGAATAAGCAATCAAGCCGTACAAACACAGATGCATCTACGAGCGTCCACCCAAGGATGCATCTATTTAGGACTCATGGTGGCTTTCTTTGGTATTTACACCCAAACCCCACACCCGGGTTTAAGAAGCCATTTGCCGCCAACTAGCTCCCCTTTGATTCTCAGCGGACCGGCGAATTCGCATGCGGAATGCGCCCGAAAATTCCCCGCCTTCTCTGCAATGGAGCCCGGCGTCTTGGCGTATTTGCCGCCGGTGACCCGCGAGGCCGCCTCCATGGTCACGTTCTTCCCCAGCTTCTGCCTCTGGGGAAACAGACGACGAACAAAATACAATGGTAAGAAAAGGGGGCTGTGTGTTTGCGTTTGTTTTTGTGTGTGCTTTTTGTGTTTGTGTTTGTGTTTGTTTGTTTGTTTGTTTGCTTGCTTGCTTGCTTAATTACTTGAATGCCTGTGTGCTTCTTTATGCCAGTGCTTTTTGTTTTGTAGTTTGTTTGTTTGACTCATTGATTGATTGATTGATTGATTGATTGATTGATTGATTGATTGATTGATTGATTGACTGACTGACTGACTGATTGATTGATTGATTGATTGATTGATTGATTGATTGTTTAATAAATCATGTTTTTTGCTTGCTTGTTTGCTTGCTTGCTTGATCGATGATTTGCTCGTTGAACAGCTTCATCCCCTTTGGGCTGCCCTAAGTATGTTGCGCTTCCTGGGGGCAATCCGCTCAGGGCCCAGCTGGGACATTTGTCACTTCCAATCGATTGGCGGGAAAAAGTCGACGAGTTATTCACTCACCAAAATGGTCACCACAGGAACTCAGGGAGTGAGAGATCGGAATCGGACCCCTGGTTGATTTCCTTTTGGCTTCCCTTTCTCCCAAGATTCTTAAGAAGCAAGGTGCCCATGAGGGTCTTCCTTCACCGAACAAAGAGTTCTCACCGTGGGTTTGCTAGGCTCTCGAGCAGCGCGGAGAAAGTTTGCAACTTAGGGGCACCAAAATCCCCTGGCCGCCCCCGAGCAACTCTGTCAGGGGGCGGGGGGGCTTCCTTTTTCCAGCGCAGGTAGTTCAAACACCAAGTCAGGCAAAATGTGTGACGACATCGTTTGGTTTGAACCGTTGAAAGGAAATTTGCTCTTGCCCGGCGCTTCCAGTTAGAACTATACTGCGTATGTTAGGTATTTAGGGGTCAACCATCACGGCAAGGCCTAGAGGTAAGGAACCCTAGTTACCTACTACAGTGGTAACTGGAAGCGGCTTGGAAAAACCAAACACGCAAAGAGCCTTCTTTGGCAATGGTCCCATCTGGCAGGGAAATTCATGCAACAAGTTAAGAAGGGAGACCTTCGCCAAATGTCTATTCGTGCGGACATCGTTGAGCCTATTGTTGAGTCGGGTTAGAAACACCCACCACATCACATTCGGGCGTGCCCCAGGGGGCAACTCGCTGAGTGATTTCCTTTTTGGTGCTTTTGAAATGACCCAAACACCAACAGACAGAAAAACAAACTGCTTGCTTACCACACAAAGTCTTCCAGAAAAGTTCTGAAGCGCACTTTCTGGGCAAGTGAGTAACTTGGCCCATCTGGGGCACACAAAATAAGTACTTAGACTTCCTTTTTCTGCCCTCGAAAATATCACAAATATGTTGCACACCTCAGTCGAAGGGGTCGTCCCCCCGAAAAGTCTGCAGTCCACGAAGTCCGCCCCATCGCATTTGGCCAAGTTGCATGGCGTGAAGCCGCCACGCGGCATTCTCCAGCCTGCGCCCCTGCAGGGACTCATCCTGCTAGGCGCGATAAGGGCCCTGCCCGAAACGTTGAACTGCTGCAGGTTAGGAAGATCGACATCTTCCCCCCGAAGAAAAGGTAGCCTGGGGTTGCATAAGGTTGCATCAGGTACTGGGAAGAAAAGGTAGCATCAGGTTGAAACATCCAGCAGCATTCAAGTTGACGTACTCCCTGAAAGCTGCTCCGAAGCGCATGCTTATTTGTACAGACCCAAGCTTTCAGCTGTTGGGGGAACGCCCTTCTTAACATTTGAGCATATGCCTCCCCGGAAATCGCATGATCCTGTGCCATAGTTCGTGAACCTTGATTCTTCAGGCGCTGGATTCTTAAAGAGTCCGGCAATTAATTTGAATAGCTGGAACAGCGTCCAACATGGTTGGTGATGTCCACCAAAAGGTCTTAAATGCTTGCAGAGTCAAAGCGGAAAACTCAATAGCTTCCAAAAAGACAAGCTATAATTGAAAGGCAACCGTGCGTGAACGGCAAACTGCAATGTCTCACGCTTCCAACAAGCATTCATTTGAACTTCAAAGTCTACAAACTAGTTTCCTTTCCTTGCTTAGTGACATGAAGTGCGCTTAGTGCTGGGTGATGTCCCTGTTACCCATAGTAACATGATCCCTCCTTGCCAGACCAAAGTTGAAAAAGGTAGCACTTAGCACCCCTGTCATCAAGCAACTAAACTGCTCACTCGCGAAATGATCCGCAAGGATACAGCTTGGTTTCATGTTCTGTTTCAGGGTTAGATTCATGGGACCTAGGAATAGATCCCCCAAAAAGGCGACTTTTCTTTTGGCTTCCCTGCGAAAACCCAAAAACAGTTCTCCCCCCCCCCCCGCAAAAATCAAAGTGGCACACCCATATAAAACTTAGAACCTTTTGCATGCTTCTGAGGTTCCTCTACGCGCCTGATGGGAACTGGGTACAGCCCAGAACTACCCCGCGAAACTTCAAGGCTCAGGTCGCGGCT